TAACCTATCTTCTTCAAATTTATAATTGATTAAACATTTCTCTTAACAGTCTTTTATACACAGAATTTCATAGATTCTAAATTGTGTGTGATATGAAACAAGTAAATTAACTCTCATTTTTTTTGTTAATTTATCCTAACATTACTTTAAAAATCTCATTTCATTGATTTTTCTTTGCAGTACTAATAAAATTGACATAATATGAACATTATAGCACTAATTATTGAGCTACAGAAACTTTTTATATATATTTAATGGAAAACAAATAAAAATGCGTGCATGTACACATAAAACTGATTTTATTTATTATGCCAATATTTTTATTTACATGACAGTGTTTCGGGGTATTTTCTACGTGTTTTAATGAAGTCACTATTTTTATCTTTTGATAGAATCCTCAAATTATTTAGTGGTACAAATGATACTATTCCTTTCTATCTATTAACTAAATGTGTTAATTAAAAGCAACTTATGTAACACTCCTTAATCTTAATTCAATTTATGATATTTTAAAGTTGCAAGAAGAATTGAAACCCAGTAATATTTCCTGTTAAATATTCAGGTGCATTTTTAATCTTTGGAGTAGAAAAGTTACTTCCACTGTAAAATAGTGTCGTAAATTTTGTTTTACTGCATTCTAACCCTCAATGCCAATTAGCACATTTTATGCCTCTATTTGGATGGTCTCCAAGTTTATATCCATGCCACTATGCTTTGTAATTACTTTATTTAAAGAGGCTGCATCACACCCTTGCTGCTTAAACGTGGTCTGCTATCAACTGGTGGAATTACTACCTATATTAAGCAGATGTCAACACTACAGATTTTTAATTAGTTGCAAAGTATTTCTATCATTTTCTCATATTTCCAAGGCACATAGTCATTTATCACTGGACCTCCATGTTACCAAACCCAAGAGAAGGTGGCATCCAAGGAGACCTCTACACTCCCTTACAGTAAAAATTTGACAATCAAAATGGATATAAAAAAGAAAGAAACAGCACATCTGCAAATTTTCATATTCTCATTTTACTTCCAATGAAGAAAACTTCAACCACACTGCAATTCTCAAATAATATGTCTCATGTTACACTCAGCTATCCCAGTAGAGAGAATCTTGCCGAAATATACATGTGAGTAGCTGAGGTAGGATAAGTAAAGATTTACATCACAAGATAGCACAGAAAACTACCAGAAAATGTGAGACAGGTATTTAAACTCTATATAAAAGAGATATGTAAACAAAAACAAAATCTTAAGCCATCCAGCTTACTGAATGGATTCCCCTCTTGACCAATGGGACCCCCAAAAATAAAAACCTTAAAGCTGAGTTGCTGACCATGAGGAGAAGGGAGGTCAGACACATCTAATTATGCCCTCTTTTGGAGTTATCCTTTGTAACGGTAAGATACACAACCATTAATAAACCTAAGGCCATGTAAGACAAAGGTTAGACCACACCTGCATGTCATCAATTTACTTAACAGGTAACTTGAGTCTCAGCATATGTTTAATGGCTTATCTCTGAATAACAGACTACCTTATCTTTACTTAAAAAATTCCAAGCATGGATATTAGCCCTTTCTCTGAGGTATAGTTTGTAAATGTTTTCTCCCATTCTGTAGGTTATTTACTCTATTGATTATTTCCTTTGCTGTGCAGAAGTTTATTAATTTTATCAAGTCTCATTTTTATTTATTTATTTATTTAGAGACAGAGTCTTGCTTTGTTGCCCAGGCTAGAGTGAGTGCTGTGGCATCGGCCTAGCTCACAACAACCTCAAACTCCTGGGCTCAAGCAATCCTGCTGCCTCAGCCTCCCGAATAGCTGGGACTACAGGCATGTGCCACCATGCCTGTCTCATTTTTCTATATATATTAGTTGACCAATTTATTTCCATTTATAGTAGAGAGGGAGGTCTTGCTCTTGCTCAGGCTGGTTTTGAACTCCTGACCTTGAGCGAACCACCCACCTCAGCCTCCCAGAATACTAGGATTACAGGTGTGAGCCACCGTGCCTGGCCGTCATTTATTTATTTTTGTTGTTGCTGTGTTTGCTGTTGGGGTATTAGTCATAAAGTCTTTGCCTAGGCTGATGTCTAGAAGAGTTTTTCCTACATTTTCTTCTAAGTATTTTATGGTTTCATGCCTTACATTTAAGTCTTTTATCCATCTTGAATTAATTTTTGTATATGGTGAAAGATAGGAGTCCTGTTTCATTCTTCTGCATATGCCTATCCAGTTTTCCCAGCAGCATTTATTGACTAGGGCTTCCTTATCCCAGTATATGTTGTTTTCTGCTTTGTCAAAGATGACTTGGTTGTGATAGATGGTTTTATATCAGGGTTCTCCATTGTGTTCCATTCTCTACTTTTATACCAATACCATGCTGTTTCGATTGCTATAGCATTGTATAATTCAATGTCCAGTGATGTGATGCCTCCAGATTTGTTCTTTTTGTTTCAGGTTGTGTTGGCTATTGGGCTTTTTTGGGTTCCAAATGAAGTATAATATATTTTTTCTAGATCTGTGAATTATGACATTGGTATTTTGATGGGGATTATGTTGAATCTGTAAATCACTTTGGGCAGTATGGACATTTTAACAATGTTGATTCTACCAATCCATAAGCATGAGCTACTTTTCCATTTGTTTGTATTATCTGTGATTTTTTTCAACCATGTTTCATAGTTCTCCTTCCAGAAATATTTCACCTCCTTCGTTAAGTATATTTCTAAGTATTTTATTTTCTTTGTAGCTGTTATGAATGTAATTGAGTCTTTTCCAGCAAGAAAAAAACAAACAACCCCATTAAAAAGTGGGCAAAGATATGAACAGAAGTTTTTCCAAAGAAGATAGACAAATAACCAACAAGCCTATGAAGAAATGCTCAACATTACTAATTATCAGGGAAATGCAAATTAAAATCACAATGAGATATCCTCTTATCCCTGTCAAAATGGCCACTGTTAAAAAGTCAAAACACAATAGATGCTGTCATGGCTGAAAGAATGGTTACATGCTCTTGGTGAGACTGCAAATTAGTACAACCTCTATTGAAAACAGTATGGAGATTCCTCAAAGAGATAAATGTAGACTTAATATTCAACTCAACAATTCCACCACTAGGTATCTATCCAAAGGGAAAAAAAATGTATTTTATCAAAAAGACACCTGCACTTGAGTGTTTATTGCAGTACAATTCACAATTGCAAAGATGTGGAATCAATTTAAATGCTCTTCAATTCATGAGTAGATTAAGAAACACACACACAAACACACCATGGAGTACTCCTCAGCCATAAAAAGAAATGAAATAATGTTTTTGCAGCAACTTGGATGGAACTGTAGACCATTATCCTAAGTGAAGTAGTAAATATATCAGGAATGGAAAAACATATAACATATATACTCTCTAATAATTGGGAACTAATTGATGAGCACACATGGGCATAAGGAAGGTCATTGGAAATCAAGAATGGGTTGAGGATAGAAAAAATTGGAGGGGGGAGTAGAGGAGGGGTGAAGAAGGGTAAAACCTACCAATCCAGTACAATACTATGCAGGTGATGGGCACACTAAAAGCCCAGACTTAAGCATTATAAAAGGTATCCATGTAACCATAATGTTTGTACTCCCTTAATATTTTGAAATAAAAAAACAAAACAAAACCAAAAAAAAAAAAAAACCAACATTCTAATCCTTTTGCCAGTTTCTTTTTTAATTTATTTATTTCAGGATATTATGGGGGTCTTTAGCCAATTACAAATCACAAAATCTTTAAACCAAACTATATCTTGTATAGTTTGTATTCTGTGTTTATAAAGTCATAGGACACAACTGTACCCTTCTTCCCCAGAAAGAGTCCCTTCCCTATACTCCAGTTGTTTAGCATATAAACAAAATCTCTCCTGGAACCAGATAGTCCCAGGAGTTTTGCCTAGATGTCTCCTTGAAATGTAAATAGGTAGATTATGCTCCAATCTCCCTGGTACCTTAGCACTAACTTAGGTATCTATTCCAAGACTTAACTATTTGACTGACTGGGGAGCTAAGAAAAGTTTTAAACAAATGACTACAGACATAACTTTATGGTATGTAAAAATGTTCTAGGAGAACTGATAGCAAACATTTTCTAATTTTAAAACATATATGTTTCTTTGTCTTAGAAGACTAGGACTTTATGCAAGAACACTAAGAAATCCAATTCTCTTGCCCTAAAAGTTATATATTAATAGAAACCAATACCTTATGTAGAAAATGTTCCTATTCTTATTGATTATAAAACAGGAGGAAAAATCCCACACAACTGTATTACATCAAAAGACTGAGCAAAATATGTTCTTACTTTTGATGTTTTTATAGAATACCCTGAACCTTTATTCTAGCATACAACTCAGTTGTCATTCCAACTATTCTGTGAAATTATACTGAAATTAAACAAGAATATGCTAGATCTTCTTTGAGAGAGTTGGAGATTCAGGTTACATCTTAATATTGCAAATTATAACACCTACAGGATAGAGATTTGTTGCAGATATGATTAAAAATAATTCTTTAAATATTTTTAGCATAGTTCCTGGCACAGAGTAAACATTCAAATTTAGGGGATATTGTATTATTATTATTATCATTATTATTATTCAAGTTCTACTTGAATTTCCAACCAGAAAATATGCATAAAAGGAAATGAAATTCTAACTCTTAATTTTTCAATCAAAATTTAAAATGCAAATTAATTAAAAAAACATTATTTAAGTGGAAGTTTAACTATGGCACTTGTTGAGTCATAGGCTTTAAAATTAGCCTTTTTAAAAGTGACTATTGCTTTTATGATACCGGGGGTAGGTAGTATTGTATTACACTATATTTTCATTCAAACTGTATTTAATCTAATTAAAGTCATATTTATGAATTGGAAAATGTCCCCCAATGTGTAGGAACAAAGAAATCTGCTCTGAAAGGGGCATCGGGTCCCTTGTCTAGAACATATGGCTTTACCTTTTCCTTCACCGACACCCCAAATATGCATTGATACAGATGTAATGCAGTTCCGTTTGTGCTCCTTTGTGATTCCATATACTCCAGAGAGTTGAATACTGAAGGAACAAGGTAAAGGTGCTGCAAGTGAACATTGGTAAAAGAAATTTTCAGTAACAGTCAAATTCTACAGTATTAAAAGTGTACTAATAATGTTTTCATGAATGCTTACATTTTAGATAAATATATGTCCATAGAACATGAATATTTAGATGATCTACATATTCAACATCAACATCATTATTTATTTATTACTATATATAACAAAAAATAGATTCCCACATACATATACAAATATGCATATATATGTATACATATGTGTTAATGGTAATTTTTTATTATTGAATATTATTTTGGTATATGTTTAGTAAACCTCATTGTTTTTAAATTTTACAGTGCCCTAAATGGAAAGAAAAAAATCACTTTCTTATTAATTTTAAAGATGTATCTACCCTTGAAGCAGCAAAAATTTCTAGGAAAAGTGTGGCAGAACCTAATTCCAATGACAGAAAGAGAATATTTATAGAACTCTAGAGGCCTGGTTATTTGAATTTCTGTAACTCACCAGGTCAAATAGATTTGTGGAAGAATCTTACTTTAAAAAAGAATAATAAAATAGTGTCATAATTTAGATTAAAGCTATATATCTGTTATAATTTGAAACATATGTCACATAATGAATAAATGATTCATTGTACTGTTAGAAAAAGTTGACTACACATTCTAATTCAGGAAACAAAACCAAAGGTAAACCAGATTCCAGGTCAATAAAATAAAATAAAACAAAATAAAATAATAACAATAAAAAAAGAAAAAAAAACCTACTCATCAGATTAGGGAGGCAATTATGAGATTTATGGTCATTAGTTTTGTGAGATCACAGTCTTATCTATGACTTCCATCACCACCTAGAATTTGACATTAAGATACAACTTGTTTTTAATCTTTAAAATTACTTTTAGTCTTATTAAAGTAATGTATGTACAAATTTAAAATGGTCAAATAGTCCTTTTTTCTATGTCAAGATAAACATAAGAGTTCCACAAGTGAATTTTAAAGATACAATTTGAAATTACAAACATAAAAAAAGACAAATAGGATTAAATGAAATTAAATATATGAAAGGTTTTATGGAGACTATGACAAATCTTGATTAAAAGATAAAGACATATTTAACAAGCTGAAAGATAATCCAGATATATCTCTATGGTCATGCAATATCTTGAAATTATTAATTTTCACCAGAATAATATATAAATTTAAGCAATGTCAATTTAAAAAATACCATTTGGGGATAAAAATTGATATGCTATATCTAAAAAAGTATATGAGAATTATATCAGAACACAAGGGGCAAGGAGTCAATACTGATATAGAATAATAATGTAAAAATAATATTTGTATCATATATCAATTTGTGTTTTAAAATTATAGTAAGATAAAAGTGTGGTGATATGTCATAGATAGACAAAAATAATAGAATAAAGAGACCTTAACTGACATACATAGTAGCCTGCTATATGAAAAGGTGGCATTTTAGATCAATGTAGAAATAATATGCTGGTAACAGTACTAGGAAAATAGGTTATTATTTATAGAACAAATATTAATATTATATGTTTATAATATAAATAAATGGATCCTCTTTTTAATAATATGTAAAAATATATCCCAGATAAATATATCTAAGCATAAAAAGAAATTTAAACATTTTAAATAAGTGCCATTTCACATTTTGGAGATCTCAAATTAATCAAATTAAGCAAGGATTTTATAAATAGCATATAAATAGATATAATGCAAAAACCATAAAGGAACATATTGATATATTTCATTACAATTCAATTTTCAAAATTCTGGGCTGGGTGTGGTGGCTCACGCCTGTAATCTTAGCACTCTGGGAGGCCAAGGTGTGAGGTGGCAGGATCTCTTGAGGTCAGGAATTTGAGACCAGTCTGAGAAAGAGCAAGACCCCATTTTTACTAAAAATAGAAAAAAATTAGCCAGGTGTGGTGAAATGTGCTTGTAGTCCCAGCTACTGGGAAGACTGAGGCAGTTGAATCCATTGAGCCCAGGAGTTTGAGGTTACTGTGAGCTAGGCTGACACCACAGAAATCTACTGGTGACAGAGGGAGACTCTGTCTCAAAACAAAACAAAACAAAAAACAAAGAATCAAAACAATTTTCAAAATTCTGTACATCAAGAGATATCAACTTTTTATAAAAAGAGTAGTGAATTTACAAACTGAGACTATATTTGTAAGACACAAATATTAAAGGGCTATTAAGTATATTGAAAGACACATAAAACAATCAAAAATAAAGAAATTGATTTAATAGGTAAGTCTCAAAGGAGGAAATATTACTTGTATGAAGATGTTTGGGTCAAGAGAATGCTTAAGGAAACATTGACTTCTCCTTTTCCAGGAGTTCATGGGATCTTGGGCAGCCTCAACCCTCTGGCTAATATTCAAGTGACCACTCATATTAATAATTTTTAAAAATTTAATTTGTTGTCCCTCTTACCTTGCTACTGCTTTAATTATTCCTTTGTATATTCACTCTTGCACACATAATAGTATCCACCTTTACTTCTAGATAAGGCCAAGCTTACCCAATTTAACTCCTACAAGACAATTTCTTTTTTAATAGCTCAGAGGCTTTTTAATTGGCTCCATGAGTGGCAGGGCTCTTGACATGTAAAATGGCAGTTAGAAACTGACAAGAACCCCCAACAAATATACACTGATAATTGGGTAGAAAGATTAAACAACCTCAAAACTGTACATTGAGCTAGTAAATTGGTGAAACATACTTATGTTAGAAAGCACAATGTGCTCTCAGTTTAGTATTTAAACTTTTTCCTTTATCTTTAATTTTATTTTCTATAAAGAACATGGAATTATGTATAATTTCTCTGATACCAAGCTGATATTCTAAGAAAATAATTTATTATGAACTATTCCAAAGGTATAAACTATACCTAGTGAAATGGCTTAACTCACAAAATTCTCTATAAACAGATTAAATCTGAGGTTTGACATAATGTGATGCCAGTTCCAGTTTATGTTAGTTATTCTTTGTTCTTAATATAAACTGACTATATATCTCTCTCACAGAACTGTCAAGTTGTCCGACGTTGAGGCACTCAAAAGAAGAAATAGCCCTTCCATCCCAACATCTAAAACAGACAATGAGCTCAAAAATATTTGAGGGATAATAAATGGCAGTAGAAAGAGTCATTACTATGTTTTAGTTGTCAATTTTTAAAATATTTATATATAAATATATGTAAATATTTATATATAAGTACATAAATATTTTATATAAATATATATATAACTCAGTTGAGTTATTATACTTTAAGCAAAAAAGCAGAATCTGATCATGAAGTTATACTTAATGCCAAGAAAGCAGTTGGAACTCACAAAGTATTTGAAGCCAATGCTCAAGGCTCAAGACCCAGTTTTCTATTTTTATCTTATTTCTTCTGTTCTCTGCCTATCTTTCATTTTCATCTCTGTACCTTAACTCTTAATATTTGACTTAAAAAAATGGTGCTTGCAACTTCCTAATATGCATATAAGTTTTTGTGACATATAGATCTCCACCTTTGCCAAACCATACAGCAAATTGGGGAAGAGAATTATGATTAGCACAATTTGGGTCTTACCGACGGTAGTGTTTTATGAACTTAGCTGCAGTCACTGTACCTCGGAGACTGGGAGGGGGATAGAACATTCCTAAAATATGGGGTCACATCTCAGCAAAAGGAACATTGTGCAAAAATATATCTGTTGGGAGACACTTCCCCATGTCATTTTTGCAAGTCTGTATTTCTATTTCACAACTACCTTTCCAAGAATGTCTATCTAGCAAGCAGTCTTGAAAGTGATGGTGTCTTCCTTTACTGCAGAGGGCAGCTGTGTTTCCTGACAGATAGTAAAGAAATGTGTTTTCAGGGCAAAGGCTGGAGACCTATGCCTGCATCATCTTTATAAAATTGGGGTTTTCTTAAGCTTGGGGCTCCTTAGCTCTGACTCTTACCCATTTTGTGTGCAACATCCATCTGGACCTACCTCTGTATCACCCTTGAGGAACTTGGAGGAAAAAAGTAATCGATGTGAACACAAAGTCCAAGCTGCCTATTGTGCTCTGAGTAATAAAATCCTTTTTCTCTGACCCAAGAATCCCATGTCTCCTGCCAGATCTATTAAACTGTGGAAGGCTAAGTTATTAGCTTGAAAGTTGGGTAAAATTTCTGATCCTCTACAAATCTCAATAATATGCACCTACACTTACCTTCATAATTCTTTCCAGGGTACAATTCTACTATTATAGTAATGCCACAATCGATTATTTTTTTACAATGTCAATCTATTCTCTTTTCTTTACTTTAAAATTTGCTTTCAGTTGCAATAATTTTATGCTTTACACATAAAATTATTCATAACCATCAAAAAATGATGATAAGTTTATTTTACCAAAGCAATAATTAGTATGTTTTGTGCAAATTGAATTAAATCAACTTTAAGAAATAAAACTGTAGTATACAGAAATACTTTTATAGAGAAAAACTTTTATTTTTATAAGAGACAGTTGCTACAAAATTGATGCATGCTCTATGGTGATGGAAATGCTGTACTCCTCACCTTTAATTTTAACAAGGATGCCTAAACACATATCTAAATAAGAATAATACTTAAGTACTTTGATAATGATATTGCCAGAAATATTTTTGAAATTCTTCCTTTGGACTTGCTTTCAGAGATAAAATAATATTTTGAGTATGTCAAATTATAATAATGTTCATGTTTCTAAGGTATATTTAGAAACTGCCAGTACACATTAAGAATAAAATCTAGTAATAGCAGCGAGTTATAAACTCAACTAATACCATTAAATGAAAGTTGTGTCTATGGAGACACAATGGCAATCATATCTTTTTCTACTGGCTGATAAAATTATCTTTTATTTCCATTAATTCTTAGAACAATAATGAACATATGTGTATATAAAAAAGATGGAAATTCTGATCTAGGATGATTTTATTCATTAATTTGTCAAGGTTGTAACACATA